AGGTCACTTCCTCCAGGTGTCTCTGGTCTGATTCCTTCTTATGGAGTTCAGGGCCAGCAGGCAATTTGCCAAGCTACAGAGATTTGGCCTGGTGCCAAGCCCCAGCCTGAACTAGAGCAGCACAGTCAGTTACAGAGTTTATAGAAGCAGATGAGGTCTGAGAGTCAGTACAAATTGAAGATATTTATATCAGGATCATGCAAAAGATTGAAGAGACAAGAGGAAAAAAATGACAGAAAAAGCACGGGAAAAGCAGAACAAGGACTTGGGTGTAAAGTGACTTAGGACTCAGGGTCTAGAGGACTTAGGGTGTTTTATTCCATACGAAAGTGCCAAATTGTTTTCTACAGTGACTGTACTATTTTGCATTCCCACTAATGAGATATGAGGGTTCCTGTTGGTTTGCATCCTTGCCATCACTTGCATAGGTATTTTTAATTTTAGTCTTCTACTAGACAGGTAATGGCATTTCACTGTGGATTTAATTTGGATTTTCCTAATAGCTAATGATGTTAAGCATCTTTTAATGTGCTTATTTGCCATCCATGTATCTTTACCAGTCTGTTTAAATATTTTGCCTCATCCTCTCTGGAGTCTGGAAGTCCTTTTTGGTATTTTCTGATCATTGCTTTATGTGTTTAACCCAAGGTTTTAAATTGAAGTTCATGGAAAATGTAGGGTTAAATCAGCTTCCTCCATTTAGTCTGGAACTAGACATTCTGAACCTCTAGAAAGGGTTGTCTCTACTCGCTGACTTCCTTTTTTCTTACTTTTCAACCCATTCCAAGTTACGTTTAGTTTCATTACCGCCATCAAATGTCTCATCAAGGCCTCCAGTGACTTTCACATTGCTAAATCCAACTGCATTTCATTTACTCTCATTTTGAAACACTCACTTCTCTTGACTTTCATGACATAATAATCTTAGTTTTATTCTACTTAAGTGCTGCCTCCCCTCTGTCTCCTAAGGATCAAAATCTTTGGCCTGGCCATTAAATATGATAATTCTTTAAGGCTTATTCCTGGAGATTCTTTTCTTTTATTCCCTATTCTCTTCCTAAGCAATTCCATCTGTGCCTAAAACTTCAATACTTGTCTACATGCAGATGGCTTATAAACTTACATAATCATCTAGGATTTCTTCTCTCAGCTCCAGACATTATTGTCCATCTGTATCCTTGATGTCTCAGTTTTAAACTGTGCGTGGTCAGGAATGATCTCATAATTATCCGTGCAAAATCTCATTATTCCAGTGTTCTCTCTCTATTTATTTTGTTCTGTTGTCATATCTGACATCTTCCTTTTCTTAATTCTTCCATATTCAATATTCTGCAATTGATTTCTCCTCTTAAATACCTCATGTCTCTTTCCCTCCACTACCATAATCATAGTTCAAGCCTGCATCATCACTCATTGAGATCGTCACACTCACCTATTATCTGTTTCCCTGCATCCCATACTTCCTCTTCCAGCCCAGATGAACTTCTTAACAAACAGTCTGGTCATGCCAATCTGCCTGCTTAAAAATGATTTGCTTTTTAGAGTAATCCTTTTCTTAGGCCACAAGGCCTTTATTTTTTTATCTTGTTCTTGCCTACCTCTTCAGCTTAATCAATTAATTCATTCATGCACTCATTTAACAAATATTTATTTAATGTCTACTATGTGTCAGAAACTGTTCTTGTTGCTGGACATATAGCAATAAATGAACAGAATCTTAGTTTTCATACAGCTCACATTCTAGAGGGAGGATACATACACAGAACACACACACAAGCAAACGGCATGTCATTTGGTGATGAGTGAAAAAAAGCAACAGGTATCCGTGTAAGAGGGCAGAGAATTAGGGGGATTGTGTTAATAGAGTTGCTGGGGGAGCCCCAGTAAGGTGATATTTAAGTAGAGACTTGAAGAAAGTGAGCACTTGCCAAAATCTGAGGGAAGGACATTCTAGGCGTAGGGACCGGCAAGTGAGAAGACTCTGAGGTAGGAGCATACTTGGGTGTCCAGGTCTCACTGAGAAGAATAAGAGTAAGGAGGATTAGCAGTAGGAGATGACATAAGAAATATATTAGGGGTTGCCCCCTAATATATAGCCTACCATGACTTACAGGACCTTGTAAGTCATGGTAGGCTATAGATTTTCTTTTGCATCAAATGAGAAGAAATGGGTGGGTTTCAAGCAGAAGCACATCTCTTCTTTTTTTTTTTATTTTTATTTTTTGAGATGGAGTCTTGCTCTGTCACCAGGCTGGAGTGCAGTAGTGCAATCACAGCTCATTGCAACCTCCACCTCTTGGTTTCAAGTGATTCTCCTGCCTCAGCCTCCCAAGTAGCTGGGACTATAGGTCCATGCCACCATGCCAAGCTAATTTTTGTATTTATAGTAGAGATGGGATTTCACCATATTGGCTGGGATTGCCTCGATCTCTTGACCTTGGGATTCACCCACCTCAGCCTCCCAAAGTACTGGGATTACAGGTGTGTGCCAACCCCTCTCCTCCAGGCAAAGCATGTCTCTTTACAGACAATCATTGCACCAGAGCTCCTTATCAGACAAGTCAAGGCTTCTGCAGAGGTGCACTAACCTCTGAGGCATTCCCTCTTCTGTCCTCTTTTCTTCCTCATCTCCTTTCAAAGGTGTTGACCCTGTATCATAGTCTGAAGCCTTTCCCTGACTTCTCTTTTTTCCTCTCACCAAGTAAATCCTTTGCACTTGTGACTTCCTCTCAGCAGCTGCCTGGAGTACTCACCTGACAAAATCACCAAGCACCAAGTATTCCCAAGAAAAACATTCTATTATTTAATTTTACTATTTTTTAAATGGTAAAATTCAATTGGTTATCAAGTCTTATAAAATTTTTCAGAAAAAAAAATGTCCTTCTAATCCTGCAGTTCTCAAAGTGATTTCTGCCATGTTTTTGGAATTCACAAATTCCATGTATTTTAAAAATTTACATTTTAGAGCTTGATGAAACTTTATTACTCAGCTTCACAGAATTTCAATGTCCATTTTAATCAGTCAGGGTCCAATCAGAAGACAAAAATCACATTACTAATTTGAAGAGAAAAAAGCATATAAGGAATTGTTAACTATTAAATGTTAGTTAACTATCAAAAGAAATAAAATAAGATTCTTAAGAATACAGACATACCAAATGCAAAACAAATCTATAAACAATAGAGCTGAGAGAAAGTGAACAAGAGAAAAAATTATCCAAAAACTCACCCAAGGCTGAGATTCAGACCTTATTGCAGTTAGTGTGGTTGTTACAGAAACATGTAGCCTCCTGGGAGCAAAGAAACTTGCCAGAAGGCATAGGCTGAAGCTGGTTTCTAGAACTAGTTCACTGGGTAGCTGAGAGGCTTGAAGAAAGGTGGGTCCCAGCTGGTCCATAGAGGAGGTCTGCTCTGTGATTAGACAAACTTGTAATGTAGGCTACAGGTGTTGAATGAAAGCTACTGAGGTGAGTTCTCCTATGCCTCTCATTTTTGATATTCAGGCAGCTGCTCCCAAAACAGCACGTTAGAACCAGTGGTAAAAGGCCCTCCCTATTGCTGTTTTTAGCATTCCTCCAGTATCCTCTATTGACAAAACTTAACATGGATTCAGCTAGTAACAGAGAAATGTTCACAGGGTCCAGCTCCAGTGGTATAAAGCAAAGAAGGGCAGATTTGGAGCCAAGGAAAGATAAATTACATATTTATAAGTAAAGGCCAAATAGTGTCCTGGAATGTCATAGTTGATCATATCAGTTCTCCACCCATATCCACTCCAATCCCTTTACCATTGTCATTCACACTGATTCATGGCCTGCTTTCACACTCAGCAGATGGCACCTGTATATCTACGTCAGAGGGTGGCCCTCAGGCTACCAGAGCCTGCTTTCCTGAGGTGCTTCCTAATTTATGTCTCTCTAGGGACAGACTAATGAGTGCGATGAATGCATGCATATAAATATTTAGGCTTCCTAGTTCTTAGTCAGGAGAGCTCTGGAATGTGACCCACTCCATCTTTAGAGATCTTCTGCAGGATTCAGCCAAAGATGTCTTCTGCAGGACTTTCCTTGGCATTATGCCCTCACTTGGCTTTAGCTTATCCCATGTCTCCCCTTGCCTACTTATTGTCCTAAGAACAATTCCTAATCAATTTCATTTATTAGAATTCTTGTCTTAAAGATGGACTCTAGAGAACCCAAATGGAGCCAGATGTTATATCAATAAAAGTTTTTCAGTAGTTTGTAAAATCTATAGCAAAAGTAGAATGGAAACATTGCATGGCATATGGTAGTAAGAAATGCTGAACTAAAACGGTTAATATGCATGTGCCTTGCCATTTACTTTCGTATCTGTGGTGTGAATTAGAGATTGACACAGAACAACAGATCATGGCAAATATTAATTTGTACCAGATCACTAGCAGCAGAAGTACAGTTGTAAATATGTAATAAGAAATGTTTATGTTCCTAAGTTCAATAATAACCACATTAGGTAACTGTTCAATCCAGATTTTGATAATGTCACAATTCTTTTAGAATACACAAGATGCTCACTTCACAGAGGTACTAGAAAACATCTTATTAAAACTGCCATTAGGGAAGTGCTCACTGGCAGAGTTTTTATTAAGCATAAGGTTGGAAACAGAGCCTTGAAGTTATTGATATACCATTTTGCAGAATATACTTATGCAAATGGCCATTTATTATACAAGTATTATGAAAGTAGATAAAAATAAATTAGTTTCGAAGCTATATGTTGTATTCTCTTAAATGAAACATTTAATTTCAGTAGATCAAATATAATGTTACATTTAATGTTCATTTGAATTTTATTAATTTCATGTTATTTGTATTAATTTAAATATGGTTTAGGTTTTATTGTTGTATGTGAGCTACGGCATAAGGAGTTTGTGCCTAATTTTGAATCTTTATATTTTAAGTAATATTATAATAAAAATAGTGGAGAGGTATTGTTCATCTCAATAGTATGTTTTACAAAAAGGGTGTCATATATTACTGAGGTTTGGGGAACAGTTCTTTAATTCATTTAATTTAGATCTATTGAATCCATTTAATTTATCCTCATACCAGTAACAGCAGCATCAACTTGAAATTTGTTAGAGCTGTAAATTCTTCGGCCAGCCAGACCTGCTGAATCAGAAACTCTGGGGTGTCTACCCAGTGACCTGGGTTTTAACAAGCACCCAGGTGACTCTGATGCATAATGAAGTTTGAGAAAACTGCTCTAATTCTTCCTCTTCTCCTCTTCTAGGCTCTCATCCTCTCTTGAGTCTCTTTGACTACAATCTCTCCACTCCCAATTGTCGTTTATACAGCTGTCAAAGGGCTCGTTCTAGAGCATATTTATTATGTCACGTTTCCTAAAGTACCTTATACTTATCCTCAAGTGGTCGTCAGGGTAAGCATCAGGTAAGTATTCACTCTGTGGTAATGGCCACTATTGTCATCGTTCTCTGTATCACTTTTGCCATCAGCAGTAGCATCCTCCATTGATCAAATACTTAATTACGATTATTTTGTTAAGTTTGGGAAATCATCCTCCTTTTTGGCAAACATTCTCAATATACCAGCTTTTCTTGTATTAGGCATCTAGCTTACAACTTATACTAAGAATCTCAGGTATGGCTGTTTCTGACTTTGAAGTAGGAGTGAGCAATGTGGAGAAGCAGTGCTGAATGTGGAGAATTCATGCTGGCAGTGAGACTGCAGCAACTACAGCTGCTAATGGTAGGGCCAGCATCCAGAGGTGTCTGTACAGAAGCTGTTAGCACAGTGCGGACAAAGGTGTCATATGAGGCTGATTTGGGGGCTAATTTGCTGTGGCTTAGGTTGTTTAGCTTCTCTTTCTTTGCCTGTGTTCTATATCTGATTTTCTAGGTTTTTAGAGGATTCCGTGAGTTACTCTTGCTTGATCTGTTTAAAAATGTGCTTGCTTTTCTTGGGCATAAACAGCCAATCACAGTGTCTCTTGCTTACAGTGAAGCAATTGACCAGTGCAAGCCTCAAACTTTACTTCTAGATTCATCGCTTATCACTTTCCTTCCCTGCAAACCTAAGGTTTCAACAGTCCTGGAGCATTCACCATTTCACAAATACATCACATCATTTTTTGTTTCTTTATATGCACTTAGAATGCCCTGTCTGCCTGAGAAATTCTTCTTGTCACCATTTTGCCAGGTAAAATCCTATTTATCCTTTAACACCCACTAATTCTTGCCAAAATTAATTTCTCACTATTGATGATTGGATATATAATGGGCATCCTACTTGTATTCTGATCAAGAACACTGAAATAAAACCCTGAGATATTTAGAAAAACACCTGACAAGAGTCTCAAAAACTTCTTTTATCTAGTAGGTCAGTAGGACCCACCCCATCCATCATTTCCATAACTGACACTGCCTGCTTTCCTACTGGGGGATTTATATCATTTAGGCATTATAATTGAGTAAAAGATAATATATGTTTTAGCATCCTGGCATAACTAGTCCAGGATGAAAATTATTGATAAAAGGAAACAATGTATAGTCATTTGCCACATAAGGATGTTTAGGTTGATGACAAACCACATGTATAACTGTGGACCCATGAGATTATAGTATTGTATTTTCACCTTTTCTACATTTAGTTATGTTTAGATGCACAAATACTTACGATTGTGTTATAATTGCCTACAGTATTCACTACAGTAACAAGATATTCAAGTTTGTAACCCAAGAGCAATAGTTTATACCATATAGCCTGTAGCATTGAGGTTTGTGTAAGTATACTCCGATGTTCACACAACAAAATCACCTCATGATGGATTTCTTAAAACACATTCCTTTTGTAAACCAACACATGACTGTATAAACAAAGCCATGAGGTCAACTTGTCTCATATTGTACTTAGGCCCAGTACTGCATATTGTGTGTGACCCTCTGATGTGTATTCTGCCCTCTCTCATTTGTGTATCAGCCAAGTGGTTTAGGGACTGACCCTAGTTCCAAACGTGTACCCTGATTAGTTGGAGGCAGCAATGATTACTGATGGTTTAGGAACTCAAACATAAGCCAATCCCACATGATATTATCCTTGGCTAAGTGAAAAGTTTGGCCCAATAAATTTTTGATTATCTGCCTACCTCAGCCACTTCCATTTTAAAATCTATTTTTCTGGACACAAAAAGGAAACAAGGAACTTTAATGACCATCGTGAACCAAACTACAACACCAAGTTTAAAGTTACCATGGTAGACAGTGAGGGACTGTGTTAAAGGAAAAAAACCTGTCTTTCCAGGTCCACAAAGGGTGTGATTTCAAAGGCAAGAACTTCCCAGCGCCATGTCTCCATCCACCTCCCCATCTGGGAACCTAGAGTTCTTTGTCTGACTTTCCCACATGCCGGCCAGGTAAAATTCCAGGTGAGCTTCCTTTGTTCAGAAAGCCCACCAAAAGCCCTGGAAGGAGCAGCTCTGCTGTGGGCCCAGGCAACCAATCTGGGATCAGAGTCAAAGATCAATCACTCCAGAGGAAGTTAGAAAGGACTTCTCTCATTGGACAAAAACGTAAATTGGGTGGGAATAATTTCAAGGTTAAAACCCCACTGCCCCTTACCTGGGCAGATTTCCCTCTCTGGGATCCCCTCCCACAACAACATGGAGCTGTCTTTCCCTCTCTACCTGTATGGACATCCCCTTCAGATTCCTCTCTCAGGCGCCGTGGGAGCTTTCTCCCTCTCTCTCTCTAATAAACTGCTTTCTGCTAAACTCTTTGGGCCTGATATTTACTTGAACGGTAAGCCCTGTGCTGCCAGGGCCCTCTTGCCCATTCCTTGGTCAAGGGAGGCCAAGTGCCTCAGGGCACATCCCATGGGGAGGGAGCTGAGCCCAGTCCTGTCCTGCATCCCAGTTACAACAGCAGAAAGAAAAGACAGAAGAAAAATCTAAGTCCTTGGTGACATTGTTGAACAATACTAGTCCACCAGCCCTAAATCCTACCAAGTGGGGGTCCATTACACAGGATCATGCAGTTTATGCATTTTACAGCTAGATTTACATAGACTAAGATGTTAGCGGTGCCTCGCAGTCCTTAGTCTGAACATATTCATATTAAAACAATATATCATCACCTTTAATGCTTAAGACTGTTTGAACTTTTTTCAAAGTTATTACTTGCAGACAAAAGGGCTCTGAGATCTATGTAACACATATACCTGTATTTCCCCTATTTGTCACTGCAAATTGCATCTGGCTTCCTGGTACTATTGACAGCTCTCTGAGAGTAGGCAGCATATGCGTCATCTTTTGCATAGCTTGGCTTTGTCCTTGCACGTGCCACATTAGCAGAAGTTAATACATTTTGGTCAAATTTAAATTTCATTATCTTTCATATTTATGTTCTATTTCTCTAACTGAATTTAATGGCATTTGTGGAAAAGACAATTACAATAACATACCTATTACAAGAAATATACTTAATTTATTTAGTTGGTTAATAATTGATATTGCTGTTATCACTTACTAGGCACATGCTATATGCCAATTGTGACTCTTGGTACTTCACATGCAGTAATTTACTGAATCTTTACCAGCAACTTTTCAAGTAAGAGTATTATTACCAATTTGCAGATAAAACAGTCTTAGGAAAGTTACTGACCTGTGCAAGGTTGAAGCTGTCATAAATGTAAGGCTATGAATTCAAACTCAAATCCATCCGGCTCAATAATAAAGATGATAATGGTAACGATGCAACATATAAGTTTCTTCTCTGCTCTGACATTCTATCATTATATGACTTTATTTCAAGAAAATAAATCTAGGCCGCAGGGAATTTATGTTCAAAAATGAAAATGAGCCTGATGATTTCATCCTTGCCCCAAGATACCACACTCCCACTCAAAAAGTCAGCAAATGGCTCAAACCACCGACTGCCTGGGATGGTCTGAAAACTGAGGCAGCAGGGGTGAACACCAGAGGGTCATGAATCAGTCAGAGCCAAAGTACTGATAAATATGCTCATACACTGAGGAACCATTTACTGGGACCTTCTGTGCTGCTCCCATATCTCAACAAAAATGAGGCATGAGGCAATCACACCAAGATACCAATGTCAGATAATCAGTAGCTCAATCATGCAACAACTGTCACCAGCCTCACATGCCCAACAGTGGGACAGATCCAGCAGGAGGCTGAGGAGAAGTAAATGGGCTTGCAGTACATCTGGGGAGATGAGCAAAATGTATACATGAAAAGATGACTAACACATAAGGTAATGTATGCTAAGAGCCAAATGAATAATGTAGAAGGAAATGCCAAACTGAGAAAGAATTTGAATGTGAAAGATCACTGGGGGCCGGCAGAGATGATCAAAGAAAGCTTCAAAGAAATGGCAGAGCTTGACCTGGCTTTGACAAGTAAGGAAAATTCAGAGGGGCAGAGAGAAGACACATTAGAAGACACCCTATAGATATATACAGGTGGCCAACGTGCTGTTAGGAAAATGGACTGAGAAGATCACTGAATTCAATGGAGACCAACTCAATGATCTGGAGTGCTAAGATAAGGGGTGTGGATTTCATCCTGTACGAGTGGAGTTTCTGAAAGCCTGAAAGCAGAGAGATGACCTGAGAAGAGAGAAGCAAGACTGACTCCTTAATGGATTTCGTAGACCTGAGTTTTCCTGTGTAACTCAAGTTTTACCAGTATTGGAATAAATATGGGCCAAATTAGATCAACACTCCAAATCTGCTGGGACTCTTCCTCAGAACCTGATTTCTCTGTAATATTTCTGAGTCTCCTAGACTTACAGTGATTTGCTCCTCTTTTCTCCTTGACAGTTGGCAGCCATGAAAAGGCAACACTTTACTGCTTCCATTGTTACTAAGACCACACACAGCACTGATGCCACTGACGTAGATATTGTCCCAGTGCTGTTTTGAGTTATGCAGGCACTATTATCTTTACCAAGTCAAAGCCACTCACTGAACCTTCTCACCTGGCCTGATCTCCTTACTAAGTGCCTTATAAAAACTAAACTTTGTCTTTCTCTCTGTATCTATATTTTATCAGATATGTGATAAAATCTAGGCTGGAATGCCATTTCTTAGGTAAACACTTTGTGATCTACCAAATCCAGTCATTTCCCTGAACCTCTAGGCAAAATGCAAACTTCAAAACTTAAAAACCTTAGGCAAGCTGGCTTTGACTACTCCGCCCACCAGTCCATCAAATGTGCTCATATATAGATGTTTACAGAACATGCGCTAGAGATTAAGGATGTTTGATAGATGGGGGTTGGTAACAGTGGAGGATTGAAGATGTGGTGTTTACATTAGGAGGAGTTGCTTACCTGGCTGCACAAAATCAGAAACATGATTTAATTCCCTCTTTCACAGTACCTGTGTATTTTGCAAAAACAAGGCCTTCCTGGTCCCAGTTATGCAATAACCATGAAGGTGCCTATGTCTAAAGGCACCATGGGTGAAGGCCTCCAAATGCACTCCCAGTCAGCCTCATCCAGAGATGGTTTGCAAGACAATGTCAGTTGCTTCTCAAACCGATGTTTTATCAAACTCCAGACTAATACACTTGCTTGGCTAATTGAGAATAGGATGCACTGAAGGGCAATGAGACTACTTGGAAGAAGTATGGAGAAAAACAAACACATAAAGATATACATTGATCTCGGGTGTACGTTTTCTGTCAAAATTAACTGCTAACATTGGCTTAGAAATAAAAATTTACCCAGTGTAATTTTTTTAACTGGAGTTAACCTGATATATGATCCATAGTGGTTTGCACTGGCTCTGTGTTATCTACAAACACTTCCTTCAGGCCCTAGAACACAATTTCCCTTGGCCTTTCAAACGTAGAATCATAAATGCAAAATGACTAGAGTTATATTATTGGTTTATATCAGGAGTGCATTTAGTTTTTATATACTTCTCGCTGGCTTCAACCAAGCATCTACTACTAGTATGATGAGGTTGTTTATATTCAATAGGACACTAGGTTTCAAAAGCCTATAATTATTGATTTTACCACGAAAATGTTCTGATTTATTTCTGAAGTTGGTCCTCAATTGCTTGGGATTCTTTAATGGGAAATAGGATGATTAAAATTGCAGCAAGCAGAGGGCTTCATCTACCCTTGTACTTCTTAAGTATCATCCTCCTGGATGCCATTGCTCAGAGGCATCACAAGACACAAGTGACCACATGAGGTCAGCTTCTGCATTGCAGCATGACTCTAGCCAGCCATTGCTCACAATATAGCAGGATGTGTGCGGCAGTGTTGCCACTGAGCAGAGTGCGACGCATATACTGTTGACACTGGCATGGCTGCAGTTTCAACGGGCTATACAGTGGGAAAGTGGCATCTATCTATCTATCTATCAATCATCTATCTATCTACAACAACAACAAAAACCAGAGAAACAGGGATTCAGAAACAGGAACTAAATAGAAATTACATCTGTCCTAAGCTCAAAAGGCAACAGGAAGAGAAAGAAGATTAGGCCAGAGTATAGGCAACATTTCTTTAAGGCAATGTTTCTTAGATTTGAGCATCCTTGGAATCACCTGGTGGGCTTGATACACTGAATTCCAAGCCCACCTCCTGAGTTTCTGATTCAATAGATCTGAAGTGAGCCATGAAAAATTGCATTTCTAACAAGTTCCCAGGCAATGCATCTGCTGCTGGACCCAGGACTACACTTTAAGAATCACTGCTCTAGGGTTTTTGTAGTTGGAAAGACAACTATTTTGGGGATCAGAATGTTTTCTAAGTTCAGAGACCATAAGCTTGGCTTGAGGCTCAGCCTGCCTAAGCAGAGGAGTAGGAATAAAGAGAACAGGAATTCCATGTGGGAAAATGCTAGTTTCTAAGATAGCATAGGAAATTAAAGGGGCAAAAAGGAGGAAATTTCCCACCAGGGAGTGTAGAGTTGGTATACAGAGATTTAGCACAGAGGAGCGGGCTTATGCCAGAGCACAGTCACAGCACCTCTGATGAGAGGGCAGAGGCTGGCTGGCTATCAGCCTGAGCTGAGTGCTGGTGGGTTTGGTGAGATCATTGGCTAGAAGTGGCCATGGTGGGTTAAAGTGTCTACTGTGACAGGAAATTCAGGCCCACTCGAATATAGCTGGAATCAGGATAAGAAGTGGATCAGGCATAAGACAAGCAGATAAATCCAGAATGTTTGGGGAAAGGCAAATGGAATGTACAAAGGGATTAGCAGGTGACCTCAAACCGGAAGGTTCCTGGGAATTAGAGAATTGCAATGTGGAGCAAAAGATGCAGGCACTGAATCACAGTCTGGGCTCAGCGACAATGTTCAGGAATCAGACGAGGAGAAGGGAAAGCATGTCCTACCAGAAATCTGACCAGCAGGTGCAGGAACCCAAAAGAAGAAAGCAATTTGT